AATAATTCAGTTGCTGGCGTGGCGCCCCTCGTATCAGGCGCCCCGGGCGGCCGCTCGGGTCGCCCGGGCCTTCCGCCGGCCCTGACTACGGCGTAGTATCATGAGTGGCCCGCTTAAGACACATACAGACGAATCGAACAGAAAATTAACGGGTATTTTTTGGCCCGATATACACCAATGCTCGGATGAATCTATTATTATTATTAAAAAAATAAACTTATTTTGATTCAAAAAATACGCAGTAGTTTTATGTCCACGCAACATCGTGACCCGCTGTATAGATAAAATTGGCGTTGGGTTGGGAAGTAAATTTTAAATTTTTCTAACAATTGATAGAGATAACATCATGCTTCGATCTTCCCGAACATTCCCAAAGAAATTGTTACGGAAATCGCGAATCGTTTGCTTAAAAGCAATTTTGTCAGCAATCGATACCTGCTCTGGATGCAATAAACTGACAGCGCGAGCGGCTCGATTTGACATTGATAAATACGACATCGGAATACGTAATGAGATGCAACGGCCTTTGTCGTCAAATCCAGACCGATGCGACGCTCGCAGCCGGAAGAATATTTTGAGCGATTTTACGGCGAGGGTTCTTGTACCGCACCCATTACGGAAGTTTATTGTTCACCATTAATCTTAACGCTTGCGAGTTACGGCTTTCGGAAACTTAAAATCTGATCTAAAAATTCTCGTAACATAAAAAGTATTTTCTTAAAACCGTATTTTCCCACTGAAACAGAAAGCTGCACTGAAAAAGACCTTAAAATGTATTTAAAGCTCAATATGTGTGTATACAGGGTGTTTCAAAACAAATGCGAAAAACTTTAGGGGGTGATTGCTTGTTCAAAATAAAGGGTAGTTTGCTTCATAAACGTTGGGTCAAAAGTTAACCATTATCGCGGTACAAAGATGGCGGAAATATAATGTTTTTATTTTTTATCTTGAAAACGAAAAGAGATAGACTAATGAAATTTTATGGAAGCATTACTGTTATGAAAACACACTTTCAGGTAATTTTTTTTTACTTTTTTAAAATGAGTGGAAGGGGTTGAAATAAACTACCCCTATCATTCTTGTTAACGAACATCAAACACATGCAAATGCTTTAATTTGGATAGTTTAGTTTGTTTAGAAACTTTTTTACCTCTTGTGTTTTTGGTAAAACTCACCGATTTGAAATTAAAAAATAAAATGTAAAGCATTACAATCATGTCAGGACAAAAACATTTTTGGATAAAGAATCTAGTAGGCTGCTGTCAAACAGTTTTATTTCGTAATAATATCGTTACATTTTTTCTGAACGATAACCTCAAATAAAATTATTTACCAAACAATTTTTAATTCTGTTTTTTAATTCATGAAAGTTCCAAAATAATAAAAAGTACATATTAAAAAAATAAAAATGTTTTTGTCCTGACATGGGGTAATGCTTTACATTTTATTTTTAATTTCAAATCGGTGAGTTTAATGAAAAAAAACACAAGAGATAAAAAGTTTCTAAACAAACTAAACTATCAAAATTAATTTTTTGCATGTGTTTGATAAGATTTTTCTTTAAATTTCGTTAACAAGTAGAATAGGGGTAGTTTATTTCAACCCCTTCCACTCATTTTAAAAAAGTGAGAAAATTACCAGAAAATGTGTTTTCATAACAGTAATGCTTCCATAAAATTTCATTAGTCCATCTCTTTTCGTTTTCAAGATAAAAAATTAAAACATTATTTTTCCGCCATCTTTGTACCGCGATATCTCCCTAATGATTAACTACCCTTTATTTTGATCAAGGAATCAGCCCCTGAAGTTTTTCGCATTTGTTTTGAAACACCCTGTATATGTTACTTGACACTTTAGCTTATTTTTAAATTAAAAATTAAAATTAAATTAAAAATTGTAATGTCAAAAAGCATCTTTTTGATTGTATCGGCTATTTTTACTCTAATTGAACATAGTAGAGATCTTTCTGGACTTAAAACCATCTCTGCTGCAGTAGAGTTACTCTTGGGCAGTGACCAACTCTCTCTGGGCTGTTGCTATAATTTACAATAATAATAGGTATGCGTTTCTTATGCACTATTGTTGGGTGTGTTAATGAGGATCAAAATTTTAATATAAATATTATTTTCAATTTATTTCTGTAGTCTGTAAGTAAGGAATCTGTAAAAAATGTAAATTTGCCACATTTATTTATTTATTCCCTGACATTGTTTTTTATCTCGGAATTCAATTACCTACTGTAAATGTGAATGAAACCTTCTGTATTGTATTTTATAGATAAAATACTAAAATGTTTACCCATTTTTATTCGTTGCTTTTAATTTTTTATTTTATAAATTTTAGTAAATTCTTAATTATTTTCTTCTTAATATTTCAATTTTTTTTAATTCTCTTTCTAAGTAAATTTATTGAAAAAAATGAATCTAATGCACAAGCTATACCTATTCTGCTTATATTCTAATCATTGAAATTTTAATTGAAATCGAATTATACCGGGCGGCGCCGGCGCGTCATATACGACGCGGTTTTTGCAAGGAGAACAAAAGTTTGTATTGAAGTGAAATTTTGTGAGCTTATGTAAGTCAATTTAAAGCCTTTTCTAAAAGTATGTAGAGTTCTACAGGGTGTCCCCAAAAAAAGTTACACATCAAAGTTATGTTTTTTGTAATGGAACACCCTATATATCAATTGATTTTTGGATTCTAGTAAAAAAATAAAGATTTGTTTCATTAGAAAGGTAAATGACTAAAATGTATAGTTTTTGAAATATATTCACCGGCACGAAAAATGGGCACCTTAAAACTTTGATGTATTTTAAAGGTTAATATATTTTATTTTAATAGGCCGATTTTGATGATTTTTTAAGCAGTGTTTTGCTAAATTATTTTACTTTTTAGTATCTTTTTCAAAATTAAAAATGAAACTCCCCATCTGTTAATTATGCGAGGGAAAACAAAATGTTGATATTTTGGTGAAAGTTTGAAACACCCTGTGAAATATGTTAAAACAGCAAGAAATTTAAAAATTACTTTATCATCTAGATACATCCTTTCTCGATGGTTTGTTTTTTGGTTCATCTCATTAGCTTTATTTTTGTTCGAAATATTCGGTTTTAAAGAAGGCACTAACATTTTTTGTAAGTTTTACATTAAGACCATGCCTTTGCTTTTGGGCCTAGTCAACTAGGTCCAAAACCAAACCAAACCCAACCGTCCCGGTTTAACCGGGATTAACCAGGAATCAGAAAGTTTGTCCCGGCGAAAATTTTGCCTTGGCCGGGACCAAAAAAATCACATTTACATATAATATATTTGAATTTCTAATATTTAATGTTTTTTTTCAATTATTTAAAAACTTAAAAATAATTGTCCCGGAATCGCCGATGCTCAAGTTGGGAACCCTATAGTCAACACATCTATAAGTTCTGGTCCCGAAGCGGGTCTTCTTGACATAAGATTTGCTTCATTTAATCTTCTTCTTGTAGTCCGTTAGTTAATATGTACGGTCCTTAAGTGCAATTCATTATCAATTTGAAAAGCTGGCAAACGGCGCGGCGGTTTCTGAGCGATAAACTTACAATAAGTCGATCGTCTCGATTAGAAGTTCTCATACGAAGGTTCCTGGAGCTCTAGATTGACATCCTCATGGACGTGGTCATAATTCAAGTATACTCTATGGTATTAAGGTATTTTTGGAACCGGAATTTTATAGCAAATTCACTGAACTCGAAAAATAAATGATATATATTTGACTCAATCTATATATCTCTAAAAATATTTTTGAAAGGTGAACTACCATTAAACATATATTTTGTAAAAGGTTTGGAGTGACAATCTTAAATAGGAATCCTGATACAGAGCTTTTCCGGAATACGGAGCTATCTTGTATGTATGCATTTCTATATGTGTGTTTATTTAAATACTAAAGTGAAAGCAACGAATTTAAATGGGTAAACTTTGCAATATATCTTATTAATAATACAATGCAAAAAGTTTTATAAAAATTCGTTCACAGTAAATGAATTCCGAGGTTTGTATCCCATAAGGGCTTAAAGCACTCCACTATTTGTATTACGAATTCCTTGTTGTGATACCTTGTGTTCAAAATTTTCACTATCAGACCTTGCCTTGCTTGTCAAACATTATTCTTTTTAAGAGCAATTTTTAAAAGTTAACTGTAACAAAAAAAAATTAAAATAAAACTTTTTAGTTTTCTATTGATTTAAATTTGATTTTTTTTGTGAATCAATAATTTGACTAAAGTAACAATTAAAATGATCAGATAATTGATTACGAATGTTAATATTGTAATTATGACGAAAATATTGATTTTTTTTTAAACTCGACTTTGATGAAACAGATGATAGCATATAAACAGTGTAAAATACTGTTACGTCAGCCGCGTCTGCTGCCGGCGAGTCTTTCTCGCGCTTATAGATACTCATAAGACGGTTTTGTCGCGCTCATTTAAAATCTCTATTCCCGTCAGGCAAGTATTAAAAACCATCTAATAAACACGCTGTAAAAATTTTAGAATGCCTAAAGTATATTTTCGAGGTATAATTAAACATATTGAACATATTTGGGATGGTCGGGTTACATTTAGTAAACCCGAACAAAAAGTCTGGCATACTTATTTCTGGATTAAATAGATGCTAAAATTTAAGAATAAACAAATTTCAAGTTGCCTAAAGTGTATTTTTTGGATTTATTTTTTGCAAATATAAGGGGTTGCGCAGTAGCAAAATATCCGCAAAACCCCAGTTCGACTTAGGATTCTGGGTTCACCAGTTAATAAACTGTTTTTTTTTTTGTTATTTTAACTTGCCTAAAATATGTCCTCTAAATATGTCGCCATCTCTCCGGCTCAAATCGTTGGTATTTCGACAAACCGGATAAAATCTCAATAGTAAAAAATAAAGGCATTGGCTTATGGATAACGGTAATTTGTCGCTATAAGTTTTTTAAAGTTATAGACTTAAAAAAATATAAAATAAAATCTTCCTATATCAAAAGCTGTTTTATGTGAAACGAGAGTACATATTTAATGATAGAAAGGTACTTTGGCTTCTTGACTTCTTATTCTATTTTCGTGTAAAAACTTATGTTTTGCTATGTAAGACATGACATCTTTGCAGCAGTTGCTGCCTTCTTCTGGTTTTTCAAATGTTGATAGCATTGTTACTAGTAAGTGAACGCTTCCAACTATAACACATGTTATTAGGATGGATTCAAATGCAGTTAAAACCATATTTCGTTTCTCCTTTTAAGTTTTCTGTAATTTTATAACGTATCTTTTAGTATAAAACTGATTTGTTACACGTAAAATTAACTTACCTTATTCACTGTAAATTTTGCTTTTCATGCCATTATGTTGTGAGATGAAATGAAATGAATGAAATGTTACACAAAATTTTATAAAATTATACGTATGACACGTAAATAGACTTTAATGACATTGTCGAAATTAAATGACATTGTTTAATGTTTTAAGTTAAACAATCGAGAAAAAACTATATTTAAAGCGGCTATACACGGTCATATTCTGTCCGAAGGTTGGATCTTTTTAGGCGCGATTCTCACTATAACGTCCCGCCAATCGAGTCGGGTTGGATGAAAAATCGGGTGGTGTGTAGATTTGTTATCTGATAATTGTAAATCGGGCTCGAGTTGAGTGAGCAACAAATTATTGAGTCTAACCTTTACTATAGTTTTACAATAAGACTTAGACTTATTAATCTTAGCCTTAGGCAGGAGCGACGAGAATAGTGGCGAGCAAGCAGCGCGACATCGCTTCCAAAACAAATCTCTGAATACGAGTACGTGTGAACATAGTAAAGGCGATCTGCTCGAGCGGTTAGATTGAGCGGCGAGATCGATTCTCTGTCGCGCTGTAAAAAACGAATGGGGCCAAAAAGATAGTAATCACTATAACCGGTACATTTTAGATAAGTTATGAGATGACGCGGCAACAAATTTTCGTAAAGGTTATGAAACTTGCCACACTCTCTCCGATTTTTGAAAATTTAATTTCAAGGACACTACACCTTTTCGTGTGTTACTTTCGAATAAACCAAATGTTTGCGACACTACTGTCCAGAATTTTAGCCACTGTTAAAATTTTAAATTATAAATAAGCAAATGAAAATAATAAATTTGCACAAGTACCTCGCTATTCCTCGCCGCTCTACTATGTTTCAGCACCTCGCGGCTTGCTCGACGCGGTATCGCGCTGCTTGCTCGCCGCTATCCTCGTCGCTCCACTATGTTCTTTAGCCTTGAGAGAGAGGAAGGACACTTGGGCGACTGAGGCGACCCTTGCGATAGAGGCCGGGCTCCCACTGAAGTATATAATACTAACGCGGTTCCGGGGAGTGATTCCCGGAGATTGGGATATCATTATGTAGTTATACAGGGTGTCTCAAAAAACATGTGCCATCTCTCGTGAGGAGATTCCTCACGTAAAAATAAGATTTATTTTTCAGATCAAAATAGGTTCGATTCTGCTTTGTTTTGTAGCTACAGGGTTTTAAAGTCTTAATAATCTTTCGATTTATTATAATTTTCTTCCAAGTACTTTTAGTGATTCGAATGAAATTTTGAGGGTAAAAGTTACTATAAGTGCTACATATTTCAATGCTAATAAAGTGTCGATAAATTCATCAGAGACATGCATCTGGGTTATCACTGGAATCTTTTTCAAAAAAACATATGCACCACTGACACTTTTTTTCTTTTGGTATCAAAATTGTGTAGTCCGTTTAATGCCAATTAAAAAGTATCTCTTGATATTTTGTCGAATTCGGCCTCATTGATGAGATAAAAGTAATTTTATTAATCAAAATTAATAAAATTAAAATAACAATAAAATTAATAAATTATATATTTTACCTGATTTATTATTAAATATTATTACTATTAGTCCAACCTATAGCAATTTCAAATAAAAAATATAATGGTATTTAGGATAAATACAAAAAAAACTAATTTTAAAAAGTTTTAACATCCTGTAATTCTAAAATTATGCATTTCCATAGCCATGTTTATAGGAACTTTTTTCATATTTTTTTGACAAGGAATCAATGGGTACTTATTTAGAACTTTCATAAGTTAAAGATATTTTTTTTTAAAAGTTGCTATTCGACTTGGATCAAGGCAAATTAATAAAATTGCGTTTATCTCATCAAGGAAGCCGAAATCGGCAAAATATCAAGAGACAACTTTTAATCGGCATCAAATCGCTTACACTATTTCGCTAATAAGAGAAAAAAAATCAGTGGCGTACATGCTTTTATAGAAAAATATTCCAGTGAAAACCCAGATGCACGTCCCTGGTGAATATGTCGACACTTTTTTTGCTGTAAAATATGTCGCAGTAACTTTTACCCTCAAAATTTCATTCTAAACGCTGAAAGTACTTGGAAGAAAATTATAATAAATCGAAAAAATATTAAGATTTTAACATCCTGTAGCTACGAAACAAAGCAAAATCGGACCTATGTTGATATGAAAAATAAATCTTATATTTACGTGAGGAATCTTCCCACGGGAGATAGCACATGTTTTTTGAAACACCCTGTATAATATGTATGTTTTGTATAATTTGTACTTATATCTTTAGAAATAAATAATAAATTATAGAAAATATTAATACTATTCCCCTTAAACTTTTTTTCGTCAACTCCATAACAAAACAGAAAATAGCACTGGGCGTTTTTTTTTGCTCTCACTGTATCTTCCGTCTTGTAAGCATATCTTCAAATAATGCAAACTTTGGGGACAATGAAGCAAAAACGACTGTAATCTTTTTTATTCATATTTTAATATTACAGGCACGCCTTACCACACCGCTGAAGTATTCTTATTATAAGAATATTTTACATTGCCGAAATAATATAGAACAACCTCGACGTTCTAAGAAAATTAGAAATTTCTGCTTATATAGAGAGAATTTTTCCCGAATTTTCCACCTGAAAATATCAAACATCGAGAGATATGTTTGATGAAACCTGAAATTATTTCTATATGCTAGCATGTCTTCATGCTAGGATATAGAAATAAAATGGGAGAAGATAATTTAAATAAAATCAATTTGATTAGCTATGTATGTCCAACAAGACTTTTTATCAGTGGCGGATAAAGAGGGTAGCCCACGGTTCCCCCCTTACATATATAAATTGGGTTAAATGTTAGGCATTTGGGTTAAAAATGGTGCCCTAAATACACACACCGGAAAAGTCTAGGGATATTACAATTTTATCCAGCCATCGTCAGTAATTTTATTATTTGCATTTCTGATATAATAAAATTAAAATAAATAAATAGTTAACAGGACGTATTAGAAATAAAAATGCGAAATTTATCAAATTTTTCAAATTTACCTTGATTTTTATTGAACTCAAAAAAATACACACATTTTATTTTATTCTAAACTGTGAATTAAAAAAAAGATAAAACCATTTTTACTTAATAAAGGGTATGGCCTCCTCTACTGTTCATTACAGCCCTACATCGTCTCTCCATGCTCCTGATCAGGTTGTCGATCTCTTCTTGAGGTACAGCCTGCCACGCTGCATTCACGGCTCGAACCAGATCTCTACGAATTTCACAAAGCATGTCCATTCTCAAAATTCTTCTTTGGACCGCGTCCCATACGTGCTCGATGGGGTTGAGGTCAGGAGATTGTGCCGGCCAGGGTAAGATGTTTAATTGATGAGCATTGATAAACTCACTTACCACTCTGGCTGTATGAGGCCGTGCATTGATGAGGGTGCACTTCCTGAATATGATCCAACCGAATAAGATTTCCCGGTTCTCTCCATACCCTAAGCCTTCTCGAATCCGGATGAATTCCAAAGCGTGACTCATCCGTGAAGAGAATATTGGCCCATTGTTCATTCGACAACTGAACATGATGTTGAGCCCACAAATATCGTACCTCTCGATTTCCTCTCGTTAAGGGTTGAGCTCTCCAGGGGCGTCTGCTTCTTAAGTTGACCTTTCTTAATCTATTGCGAACAGTGTCAGGACTAACGGTTACATTATGTGTTTCCTGGAGAATTAAACTAAGCTCTGGTGCTGTAAGAGTCGGTCGGCGTCAAGCATTTAATTGTAAAAAATAATCTTGCTGAGGGGTAGTAATGCGATGTCGCCCTATGTGCCTTTCAGCAACATCACCACTTTCACGGTAGCGTGCACTTAATTGCGATATTACACTTTGCGTTGTATTTAATGCTCTAGCTACATCGATTTGGCGCATTCCAGCTTCGAGCATACCCATGGCCCTTAGCATTTCGTCTATGTTAAGATGTCTACGCTCCATAATGTCGTTTAATACTACAGAGTTATTTGAATGAATTCTGGCCAGTTATCATAAAAACATCGTCTACTCCATTAAATTGAACAGGTTGTGCGATCTGCTTCTTGAGGTACAATTTGACAAAAACGGCTCGAACCAGATTACTACGAATTTCCCAAGGCATGTCCATTCTCAAAATGCTTCTTTGGACCGCGTTCAATACGTGCTCGATGGAAGTAGAAAGAATCGGCCTACAAATATGTGGTTGTTTATTCAAAACATTTTTTTTTAACTTTAATAAAATGATATCCCTAGATTTTTCTGGTGTGTGTAGTAAACTAGTGCGAAAAGTTGCCGATTGCTAACTCGAGCGAAGTTTGGTTAGGTTAGGTTACACTTCGCGCGGTTAGCTTAAACTTTTATTACGTATGCGGGGATAATTAGGGTAGAAATTTTAGTAAAAAAAAATAATGAAAAAGTTAAAAGATATTATATTCGTTGTGTTGCTCGCCAGTGCATAAAATGTTTGTATGCTGATTCATATTTAATCCGTGATGTTGCTGGAGTCAGATTATTTATCACCTCATTTGCTCTTTTACGAATTTCAGGCGGTATAGACTCATCATTTGGTGTTTCGAGAATTTCCGGCGATATAGATTCATCATTATCATTTTCATCAGTTTCCGGGATCCAGTCGGGATTATTACTCATGTTTTCTGTCTATTAATTTTTATTTTACCTTATTAAAACGCGAGTACAAAATAATTTATTTAAATGTCAACCTCACTTCTTTAATATTGACACTTCAAGACTGTCTTTTTTGCTTGCCAATTTTTAAGTTTTTTTGCCAATGAAAATTTTGGTGCGAGAAGTTTACTTGTCGCACTCAAATCGACATTAAATTTGCTCAAAACTCGTGTGGTAATTGTGAAGTGGGCAATTAGCGTTTTTTCGACTCCAAAAAAAAGCAAAAATATCCTACTTTCCACGCATGAGTAATAAAAAAGCATATTCTATATTACTTTTTATTTGGGTCCCCTAAAATAAATTCCTGTATACGCCCATGCTTTTGATGAAGCGCTCTCTATGTTATGACAGATAAACAATTCTAATGGGGTAAATTATATTAAATATCAAAGCAAAATCCAGTTTCATCGTCA